CCCCCCCCCCCCCCCCCCCCCCCCCCCCCCCCCCCCCGCCGCGTGTCTGGCGCTGGCCTGGCGGCCCGTGGGCCCTGAACACGCCGCCTCCGCAGGGGTCACTCTGCAGACAACCGTGAGGCCCTGCTGCGAGAGCAGGTGCACAGTGGCAGTGGTGGCCTAGTGTCCAGAGCAGCAGGGGTGATGGCCAGGCCTGGGTGACGGAGGGGGACAGATGGGGACAGCACAGCGGGGCTGCAGGTAGGCTGCCTGAGGCAGGAGAGCACCGCTCCTCAATGCCTCTGCTTTCAGGCACTGCCCTGGCCAACTCCCGTCTCACACAGGAGACTTTGCAGCGGGACCTCCACGGTACAGGAGGCCACTTACGCGGAGACTTGAGACTTGCAGAGGGGGCTCAGTTAGTGCCCGTGACCTGGCTCAGCGAGCTCTCAGGACAGCCCTGTGGAGCCTCCGGGGTGAGGCTCTGCTCACCCACCGGGTGGTGCCCGTGACGCAGGTTCTGTGCTGCCTCAGTTTCCCCAGCTTAGGAGCTCAGGTACCTGGAGCGCGACCGGGTGGGCCTGGGTGAGTCCCCGGCGTGGGGACGAGGAGGATCTGAGCCCGCACCCTCCTCCCCAGGCGCGCTGGGTGCCCAGAACGCGGGTGCGTGAACCTGCGCTCCGAATCGGTCACCTGAGACACGGTGAGAGGAAACCGACCGGGAGGGAGGTGTGAGCACGTGACCACCAGTCGCAGGCCCAGCGGGGCTGTCGGGGGACAGGAGCGAGTTCACAGGCTCTGCGGGCTGGGTTAGGGCTTTGGTGACACACAGCGATTTTCCTGGTGTTGCACTCACATTCAACTGGGGCATAAGTAAGCGTGTGCTTCCCTCGCGTGCGCTCACAGCGTGCAGACAAGCCGGGACGCAGGACGGCTCTGGTCCTTTCTTTTCCAGCCCTCCCTTAGGAGGACGCCAGAGAGGCCTCTCCGCAGCGACTGGCCCTCCTCTTCACTGCTGGCAAGGCCCACCCGCCCGTTAGGCGGCCTGTTAGAAGCATTTTGAGGCAAGACATCGGCGACTTGCTTTCTGTGCCTTTTCAAAGAAGACAAGATGGTATAAACCAGCCCGTCAAAACTGCACGCCTGTAAGCAATGGGAATGCGCTGGGCTGAGGTGCAGAGTGATCTCCGTGCAGACCGGTGCCAGGAGTGGGTCCAAGCAGCATGGGTGGGGGGTGGCTGAGCTGCTGCAGGGACGGGCAGGGGTCACGCCTGCTGGGAACCCTGCCTGCACACGCACAGACCCGGCAGACGTGAAAAACCAGCAAAGAGGAGTCACGCCGTTGAAAGGTAGCTGAGCTGGTCTCTCTAAAACCTTACCTGGTTTCCTTGCTTTGTTACCAGGAAATCCTGTCCTCTGGTGTGGGGCCCATCTGGGCCGGGCACCTGCCCCCCCACCCCCTGCCGGGGCCGGGCGGGGGTGAACACAGCTTCCCCCGTCCCTTGTCCACTGCCGTATGCACACACTGGTCCCTCGCCTAGACTGCCTTTCCTCGATTCTCCGTTCCTTTGTGAAGTGCTAACTCACTCCTGAAGTTTTATTTTGGCATCGAAGCCCCGGGGAGCCCTCCCTGACCGCTGTCCCCACCCCCCAGCCAGTCCTGCTGAGAGCTCTCTGAGCTCTCTAAGCTCTCTGAACGGCGGTGGGGGGGGGGGGGGAGGGTGATTTGTGCCAGAAGCCTGGCTGGCTGGGGAGGAGGACCATTAGGTCACAGGCTCCTCCCCAAGGTGAGCACCAGAACCCCACGTAGTAGAAGGGACAACAGAGAGTGGGAGAGCTTCTTGAGGGGGGCATAGGGCTGCGAGGCCCGGGCAGTGCACCCTGCTTGGGCAGACAGCCCGGCCGGGCTGACGGTCCTGTGGGTTGTTTCTATTTGACATAGACCCGCTGTGCACCGTGAGACTCAACTTCAGATGAATGTTCTAGAACAATCAGAATGCTTTGAAAATGACTCCTGAATGTTTATTTCCTTTTGTAATAACGGGCAGAGGCTTCAGCTACAATTAACATCCAGCTAGCAGGAGCCAGACACTCCGGAAAGGCTGATGTTTTCATAGGTTTTCAATGTAGAGGGCTTGCACATACTGATTCCTATCGCAAACGCTGCGCCTTCCTGGGGTGTGATAAGAAGCTGTTCTTATACAGATGGGTTGTTTTGAATTTTAGAGCTTTTTGCTTTTTACTGCTCTCAATTGCAGAGCAGTGAGTGGGCCGGGCAACCTGGCTGAGACGCATAAACAAAGAGCCGCCTCCCTCTCCCTGGAAGAGAGCAGGCTTGTCTGCCAGCTCAGGAAGGGCTGTGGGGGGCTGAGACCAGGCCGCCCGGTCCGGGCCAGCGGGGCGCCTATACAGGCCACAGGCTTCCTTTCCCTGGAAGGAGATGGGACACACACTCTTTTGTCTACGGGAGCACTAGTTTCTTGGGTTGTTTTGTTCTGACTGACTTGGTTTGTGGCTCGTGCTCCTTCCAGGTACCCCAGGCCAGGGGGAAACACAGAGACTCGCTCAGAAATTCAAAGGCCTGAGAACAGACCAAGTCTCCCATTTCGGACTCTGGGCAGGCCTGGCACCCCATCTGGGTTCCCGACCTCCCCTAGCTATTAACTAGGTGTGCTCTTACCTGGGGGGGGGGGGGTTGCTCAGAGCCCCTCATCTGATCACCGCCTGCAGTCATTTCCGAGGGAGCAACCAGCTGGCTGTCTGTACTGAGTTGCTTCCTGGTGTGCTGGGTTCTAATTAAAACTGGGAAGCCCTTGGGCACGCCCCCCCCCCCCCCCGGCATGTATGGGAGGAAGGGGACCAGGCCAGGCCTGCTGGGGGGACACACAGGACACCTGGCCCATTTCACCCTGTCCTGCTACTTCAGGACGTGGGGCTGTGTCTTGGCATCTCCAGTTAGAGGGAAAACCAGCCTTTTTCTTATCTAGACTGAGGACTGAGTCCTCTCCGCTCTTTGATGCCCAGGTGGTAATTTGGGTCCGAGGCCTGAGGCCGCCCAGTTATACAAGTGGCTTTAGGCTTTGAGCCAGCAGCAAGCAAGAGGAAACAACCAGGAAACACTGTTTAAGGAAGAAGGAGCACGGTTTTGTCACGCGCACGAACGTGGAGGAGCTCACCCCCCACCCCCCTGCTAGCAGCCCCCAAGACGTGGCCCTGCTATGTGGTTGGCTCCTTAAGGGCCAGGTGGCAGCTGTCTTCTCAGGATTCCAAATGACATCCTAGGGCCGTGGACGGGTGCAGCAGCCCCAGGACCCCCCTCCCCCGGCCCCCGGAGGCAGCACAGCCCTCCCAACAGCGATCTCGGCAAGGATGTCACTTTCTCGCTATGTAATAGGTACAGTCAGTCTCCACAGCCCACAGCCCACATGACCCACATCAGGTGGACGTACCTTGGCTTCCATCAACCTACCATGCGCTCTGACTTGCGGGAACGCCAGGTCAACGCTGACAGTTACGTCCTGGCCTCGAGCCGTGTCCCTCTATCCCCTGGAGGTTTCCATCCTGACTGGAGAGGCAGGACACCCCATGGTCAGAGAGCGGCGTGTGGCCCCGGGCCACGGGCTTTCCGCTCTGGCCCAGCTTCCTGTGTCGAGGGGCCCGGTAAGCACTCCCCAAATACGAGCTCCAGTTTTTAGAAGCTAGGTGTCGAGAGGCCTGCTTCGTTCGGGGGGAGAGCAGAGGTTCTGGTCTGGAGAGCCGGGCCCCACAGCGGTTCCTTTAGGAGCTCTGCCGCGGGCCACGGACGGTGGCCGTACGCTGGGCGTGATTATTAATAGCACCTCTGTTCGCTCCCAGCCGTGCCCCAGCTAGACCCGGTGGGGACAGTGGAGGATCTGGTCCCCGTGCGTGAGCAGCCTGGGAACAGGGTCGGAGCCATTTTAGTCCTACTCTTGTGTTTGCAGAGGTCTGTGAAACCGGCTTCCAGCCTCCCACTCTGCTGGCTGCTCAGCTTAAAGCTGGGAGATCTCAGAGGAGGGCCTCTCCGGTGAGGGGACATCACATGCGCAGGCTCCCTCAGGCCCCCCCCAAGAAACGAGGCCCAGCCTCGGGACCAGAGCTGAGGTGTCCTGGCAGCACTTGCTGCCCGCAGAGCAGGTGGGTGTTCAAAGGCTGGGGGCCACTGCCTTCCTAGGAAGTTTTGCGGGAGCCTTTCCATACCCAGGGGAGTCGCGTTTTCAGCAAGTGTCCGAGACAGTCGGCAACAGACTTGATAACTGCACTCAGACGTAGTTCCAGAACTTACTAAAAATTGTGTAATCACAAAGAGGAGGGAAGCTATAAGCACGGTCAGCCGTCAGCCTCCTTTCCCTCTCACCCCCTCCCCCTCCCCGCAGGACACCGGAGGAACCCTCCACAGGTTAATGACCGCAGGGCGGCTGCCCGGTTAGCTCAGCGGGAGGGCTGCCCCAGGCTGGGGACGGCGCCCCCACCCCGCCCGCAAGTGGACCGGTGCCCCCAAACCTCTGGGGAACAACGCCTCCACCCCACAAGGGGACAATGCCCCCAAACCCCTGGGAGACGGCGCCTCCAGCCCCCCAAAGGACGGCAACCCCCACCCCCCCTCCCCAAGAGGACAGCGCCAGGGCGGGGCCGAGGCACCCGAAAGTCCCAGCGGAACACTGGCCGTGCGGGGCCGCCACAGCCCGGGGCTCGCTGTCCGCGCGGGCCGAG